GAGAAGTCATCAATGAATGTTACCATGTACCGCATACCACCAACGGACGGTTGCTTAACTGGTCCGAACACATCAGAGTGAACTAACTCTAATGGTTCTTTTGCTTTAAACTTCGATTCCTCATATGGCAATTGGTGTGCTTTACCATACTGGCATCCTGCACATACTGTGTCTGTTCGCACGTCCAGTTGAGGAAGCCCCTTAAGCATCGACTTTTTCACCATCACACTTAGCTTGGAATAGCTAACGTGACCTAACCGCATGTGTCATAGATCTGATGTCTCATTTTTCATTGTCCTGTCTACATATGCAGATTCTGCTGACATTACGTAGACTGACTCCAATCGTCGCCCCTCTATTGTTGGTGTTTCTGAGATTTTGAGGTCACGATACACCTTCACATCTCGTGGACCAAACAAGACATGGTGGCCTGATGATGTCAATTGAGCCACAGATAGCAAATTTTTCTTCATTCCTGGGACATGATAAACATCTTGAAGTGGCACCTGGTTAGAATTATATCGAGGCTTAACTATTGTCTTACCGATGTGAGCTATCGGTAACCTTGAGTTGTCGGCTGTCACCACCACACGACCTCCCTTGTATTCAGATAGATTTTGCAGCTTCTGTTTATCACCCGTCATATGATTTGAGCAGCCCGAATCTACGATCCAATCATTTTTGTAGTCAATGCGTTCTGGTGTTGTTACCGTGAGGGCTAATTCTTTTTCTTCCTCCGTAACGAATAATGCTTCAGCATCCCAGCCATCTTCACTATTCTCCTTCGAACTGGAAGTAGCAGTATTACTTTCAACAGGCTCTTTCTTAGTCCAACAATCTTTCGCCATGTGGCCCATCTTCCCGCAGTTGTAACACTTGCCACTAAACTTTTTATTATTACCGCGATTCTTCCAAGCTCCCCCTGGACGAGAGCCTCCATTTCCTTGGTGACTTTGCACCTTTTCTCCATCCTTTTTAGATCCACTACCAGTGTACCGCTTGAATGTGCCTTTGCTTTTGTTGGTGTAGAGCGCTTCCTCTTCACTTTTCAGTGAGACTCCTCTCATTTGCTTGGCCATAGCTTCTTGACCTGCAAACAAATTTTCAAACTCAACAAGCGATGGTTGTGTTGGCCATCCTTGTATAGCGGCAATGAACCCTCGATATTCGGGTCTCAAACCATAGATAATTATTCTCTTCATCCTGGTTTCCCCAATAGAAGTTGTTGGATCTAATTCTGAAATTTCGCGGCATATCGACTTCACCTTGTGAAAGTACTGGGCAATCGTCATGTCGCGTTGTACCATCGATAGCAGCTCATTCTTGAGAAGTTGCAATTTTGTATCGTTCCTCTTCGAAAAGAGTGTAACAAAAGTGTCCCATGCTTCCTTTGGCGTTTTAGCATCCCGAATGTGCTCCAACATTGCTTCTTCGATTGTGGTCTTTAAAGCAAACATTGATTTGCCTGCTTTAATTTTCCACTTCCGCAAGACGCCGTTAGCATCTTCCGCTACCGGTTGTGTAACTTCACTACCACCGACAACCTCCCACAAGTCTTGACCTTGAAGGTAAGACTCTATACATGTTGCCCACGTGTTATAGTTTTGGTTGTTGAGCTTCTTGATTCCTCCAACAACTTGAAGATCACCCATCGTATCGGCAAGACTTTGACTACACCGAACAAGCTTGAGTGACTACCGTGCAGAGTAATACACTACTCTCGACACAAAGAAGCTCCCTCTCAAGGTTTGTGATAACCCCAGCAATAATCTCAAGAAATCTTTTCTGATGTGGAAGATCAGTCAAAACTGCAACCACAGAGCATACTCGGAATTTCAAGAGACTTTACAACCAATGCTCTACCAAGAACGATCCCTGATCGACTTGGCTCTGATACCAATTGTTGAATAAGAAGAGTATCTAAGATAACTCTAATGATCCCAAGAAGAAGAAAATAGAGCACACTCTTAAAGAAAGCTCACAAAACAAACTAATTAGCAAAGCTTTTCTTATTTAGCTCTAGGCTTTGTTTTTCCTTGGATGATATACAATGCTTGGGGACTTGGGTATTTATAGCAAACCCCAAATGAAAGCTACACCACACACTTAATTAAACTAAGATTATTTAGTACCACACAAAACCCATTAATTGCACCTAATTTTTTCCACTTAACCATACCTAACATTGCCTAACTTTGCAATTGTAAGCAATTACATCATCAAACTAGATATGGACTTGGACTTTAGATTGGGTTGTGGATTACTTATGGTTTTGGGCTTGACATTGATTCTCAACATCAACAACTCCAAGTGGAGCTGGATAAAACAGAGCAATGATGCCACCATCTTGTTCCGAGGCCATAGGTGAAGTCTGAGTGACTCCACTAGAATAACCATATTTGTTCCACAAGACACATGATCTAATTCTATATGGAGTCAACCAGATCTCGATAAGTCTTGGAGTTCCTATGATATAAGGATTGGCCTGCACCGCAAGTAATCACACTTAGTACTACGGTCTAATGATATTTTTTTCACCTGAAACTGATAGGTCTTAACTTGTTACATACAATTAATTGCAACACAATAAACATATATGCTGCATCCGATAAACTAATTTTGTGACTTTAAGATGGATCGTGAGCCACGCGAGTATAATCTTGTCGTGCAGCAAGAAAATAAAGATTCCTTAGTTTCTTTGTTACATTTGTGCTAGCAAATGGCGGATCTCGCTTTTGCAAAAGGAAAACAATCTTCAAGAGACGAAGTTAATTCAGATCCCATTCTTTTCTTACAGCAAGAAAAAGATTCACCAAATGGAAAGTTAGCATTATATAGAACCCGATATTAGTTTATTACCCATTTATTCTTAACATACATTCATTCCAAAACAAAGTCTGTGGAGAAGAAGAAACATGGCTTCGGCTGTGCTAGACCTTTTGGTCGGCAGAGTTGGAGCATTTCTTGTAAGCGAAGCGTCGTTGTTAGGAGGAGTTCATGATGAACTTGAAGAGACCAGGCTTGAGTTGTTAGCCATGAAAGCCTTCTTGGCAGATGCTGAAAAAAAGGGAGCTCTAAATGCAGTGGAGAAAACATGGGTGGACAATGTGAGGGACGTGTCCATCGCGGTTGAAGACATCATGGACGAGTTCATGTATCACACAAACAAGCAGAGAAGTTGGGGTCCGTACACAAGAGCCTTTCGTCAAGCCACTTGCTTCCCCAAATACCTTTGGGAGAGGCATTGGATTGCCACCAAATTGCAGAAGCTTATCAAAACAATCAAAGGCATTCCAGAAAGAAGCCGGCGCTATGGTGTAGAGCGAATAGAAGGCACGAAGACTAATCCCAACAGTTACAATTCCAACCGAGTCAAAATATATGGTGAGTCATCTCTTTTCTTTAAAGATGATGAACTTGTGGGGATCAAAGATGCTAAAGAGAAGCTTGTTGGATGGTTACTGTCTAAAGAGCCTCAAAGGACTGTAATTTCAGTTGTTGGTATGGGGGGTTCGGGTAAGACGAGCTTGGTTGCGACCGCCTTCACCGGTCAAACCGCCAATTTTCATTGCTACGCATGGCTCACGGTCTCGAAAACTTACAACATTGAAGATCTATTAAGAGTCTTGATAAAAGAACTTTTTAGATCAGCACTGCGAGATGTTCCTCACGACTTGAGCAACATGAACTACATACAAATGGTAGAATTGTTGGTAAACTATTTGCAGTCAAAGAGGTATGTAATTGCGTTAGATGATGTTTGGGATATATATCTCTGGAAGCAAATAAGTGTAGCACTTCCAAATGGAGTAGACGGAAGTAGAGTCATGCTCACAACTCGAAATGAAGACATTGCTTCTTTTCCATTTGAAGCTGGAAGTCATTTTTACCATGTTCAGCCTCTTAATGAGAATGATGCTTGGGATCTTTTTTCCAAGAAAACTTTCTCTAGCTGGCCTGAGAAGTGTTGCCCACAGGAGCTTGAGCGCATTGCTAGAGATCTTGTTGGAAAATGCAAAGGCTTACCTCTTGGAATTGTGGCTTTGGGTGCTCTCATGTCGACCAGGAGATTGGTTTCTGAATGGATGAAATTTTACAGTAGTTTGAATTGGGAGCTAAGTAACAACCCGACACTTGAAGTAGTGAAGAGCATCTTCTTGCTAAGCTTCAACGATTTACCTTACCGACTTAAGCATTGCTTCTTATATTTGTGTATTTTTCCAGAAGATTATGTGATAGACAGTGATAGGCTTGTCAGACTGTGGATGGCTGAGGGATTTGTGGATAAAGTGGAAGGGACTAAGCCAGAAGAGATCGCTGAAAGCTACGTAGCAGAGCTCACTTGCCGATGCATGGTACAAGTTGTTAAGAGGCAACCATCTGGAAAAGCAAAAACGTTCAAGATGCATGATCTTATACGCGAACTTGCTCTTTCAATTTCCAAAGCTGAGAAATTTTTTGCCGTTTATGATGAGCAAAAAATGAATAAAGATAGCAGAGGTCCTCGTCGTATGTCCATGCAAGCTAACCATGAAGAACTACAAACACACGGAGACATGCCAAAGGTTCGCACCTTCTTTTATTTTCCTCCTAATAAGGCTGATTCCTCTTCAGTTCAAGAATTGAAATCTCGTTTCAAACTCTTAAGGGTCTTGGATCTTAAACATGTCCCGGTTGCTCAGCTCCCAGGTGAAATAGTAAAGCTTTTTAACTTGAAGTATTTAAACTTGAAAGGAACAAAAGTAAAAGAGCTTCCAAAAGATATAGGAAACCTTCGTAGTTTGGAAACCTTAGACATTAGGCATTCCAAAATTAGGGTACTTCCAGCTGGAATTGTGAAGTTAAAAAACTTACGGCACCTCTTGATGTACCATTGCAATTTTCAAGATCTATTTAAGTCTTATTATTTCTTTGATGGCACACGAGCACCAGATGGCATTTGTAAGCTAAAGAGCTTACAAGTTTGTGATGCTATCGAGTTGGGAGGATCGTTAGTCAAACAACTTCGACAGTTGACCCAACTCACAAGAATGAGCTTAAGCAATGTGAGAGAGGCAGATGAGGAGGACTTGTGCAAGTCACTCGAAAGCATGAAACTCATTGAACACTTCTTTGTCCATACAAGTGATGAGGATGAGGTGTTACGATTGGATGCATTGCCCTCTGCACCTCCTTTGCTCAAGGAACTTGGTCTGATTGGAAAATTAGAGAAGATTCCACTTTGGTTTCCTTCTCTTTTCAGCCTTACACACTTGAGGTTGCATTGGTCCAGATTAACAGAAGATTTTCTTCCTGACATCCAAGCACTTCCTAATTTGAGCATACTTCGGCTAAACAATGCATATGTTGGAAATCAATTGGTCTTTCACACTGGATTCCGAATGCTTTCTGAATTATACATAATGGAGTTGCCTAAAATGAATGCGATCGTCATAGAGAAGGGGGCAATGCCGGCATTACAGACACTTGTTATCACTGAATGCATGGGGTTAAAGCAATTGCCTGATGGAATTGAACACCTAACATGTCTCCAAACTTTGGATTTGGTAAATGTTCCCAATGAACTCGTAGAGAGAATACGTGGAGAAGGAAGCTTGGATAGTTCCATGGTTATGCACATCTCAGAAATAAGCTATCACTACAAAACTGAATCCGGGTGTTTTGGGGAAAGGTTGCGATCCTGCCTACAATGGATCGTTCGACCATCATCTTCTACTGTCAATATTCTATCCCGGGATGGTCTACCCTTCTTACCAGGTGATTAGTACTCTTTCTCATGCTTAATTTCTCTTCTTTACTACCTGTACATTCTCTGTACCAGTTGAGACATTTCACCATTTCAGATTTTTCATTTTTTTTGTAATTAGAAAATCAAAATAAAATCCCAAATTTAAAAATAAAACAAAGTTAGCTTTCAATTTTTATTTTTATTTTTTAAAAGAAATAACTGAAACTAAAAACAAAATGATTATCAAATAACCTGTTAGTTTTTCTTGTGGTACATAAGATAGACTAAAGTTGAACAATAAAACTACACAAGTTTATGGGTGAATTACATTTTACATTCTCAGGTTAGGGTACAATTGGAACCTCATACATAATCTTCATAATATTTCAATCTCATACACACTTCTATTTTAGTTGCAATTTCACACATCTATTAGTTGCACCATCAACTTGACGGTTAATTGATGACGTGACAAATATAAAGCCTATATTTTTGTTATCATAGTAGTCAAATTTGTCCACATATACTAAAAAACAAATGATAAATAAAATTTTGAGCCCCAAATTTGTACACCTGATTTTTTTTTTCCTTTTCTATTTTTTATTAATTAATCCTTTTTTATTTTCATGGTACAAAGTTGGCTTCACGTCAACACAAATATGGAATTTGCTGTTACCACGTCATCACTTAAATGATTATTAACTTGACAGAATTTTTAACAGATATATAATATTGAAATAAAATAATAAGTAAATGTATGAGATTGAAATATTTTAAAAATATTGTATGAGGTTACAATTGAACACAAACTTCAGAATGCAAAATATGATTTATTCTATTGCTGTAACGTTTTATCTTATTTTCTTCTGCCACTTATTACTTGAACAATTTTGTATAGGGAACTGACAGCGCTCAACAAGTTGATTACCCTGCCTCCAAGTTTGGGTCGGTCCCTATTCATCTCTAAATTGGAGCAGACCATTGCAAAATTTGTGTGCTTCCCAGTCCAATGAGATCAATCCAAAACTTGATATATTATTACCACACTGTTTATAGCTTATATGTAAATTATAATGGTATTGCTATCGTTTTATCTTTCCCCTAATGTTGTGTATGTAATGCTAATTTGCTACACTGTGTGTATATATGTATTCCATTCGTACAGATTGCATGTTCTTTCATTTTGTGTATGTAATGCTAATTTGCTACACTGTGTGTATATATATGTATTCCATTCGTACAGATTGCATGTTCTTTCATTTTGTTTAGAAAGAAAAAGGCAACTATGTTACTGCTAGACTTCTTGAGTTTATATCCAGAACCCAACTGCAGCCTGTGTCCATCTTTTTCTATTTCATGATGCTTTATGGATGCATATGTTCAATTGGCTTCATTTGTTTGGTTTTCCTATCAATTTTCGATCTTGCACGTTATTTTAAAAGAAAACTTTTTCTCCTTTTTCGGTTTGCATTTTCTTATCATATATAATTACTATTAGATTATGATCATAGACCAGATTTTCTTTTGGCTTTTCACTTCCCAATTAATCTATTGGCATAAAAGAAACCAATTATTTTTAGATTATTAGATTTCAAATAAATACTCCATCATATATACGCCCTTTTACATTCTCTAACTCCATTTGAAAAATTTACTAAATTATATGTCATAATGAGTTTTAATATAAGAGGTCAAGACCTGGCCATACTATGGTCTAATGGTATGAATGTGAAGTCTTAAGTTCAATTCTCATTAAAGGCGAATTTGAATCAAGTTATTATGGATAGTTCATTGTAAAGCTTAGCCCACTCTCCCACCCTTTAGTGTAAATAATATCATATTTATTAAAAAATGAGATTAGGACATCCAATCCCTCTATGGTCTTCTATAGTGGTTTAAGTAAGTGCAATACCTATATATAGGATTCAAACATCATGTCTTTGATTCATATTACACTATTGTCACAATGGTAGTGTTAGAAAGGTGCCTTAAAGCCAATCATAATATTTAAAGAGTAGATGCTAAAGGATCTCACCGTCAAATTCGAAGAGTCCAGCCTAGATATTCGTGTGTTTGAAAGTCAAAATCACTTGTGATGCAAAGAGCCGCCACTTATTAAATGTGCACAAGCAATATGACATCTTTTATCATTGCTAACACATTGCTACGATTCTCGAGGATGCTCGTCTGAAATCTGGAAAGTCCAAAGTTCACAAGGTTCGAGGTCAAGATACTATGCGTCAAAAAACTTAAAACGATACGTATTCTGACTTACTCCGAAAGGCATGTTCTTTGGATAATTATTCATCCTCAAGGGAACAAGTCCTTTTAGTTACATAGTTACAGGCAATTGTGGGACCATGATTTTTAATTGCCGGAGTAGGGTAGATCGAAATATGCATACCTCTGATGTCCAGTCATGAACTCAAGAGCCTGATGCAGAGCTAAATAAAAAGAGTATCGTTACCACTATCATCATGTTCTGGAATCAGTGAGCAAAGTCCAACAACTTCGCCAAGATTAACTATATTTGTTCCGCAAGATACGGAAACCTAATCCAGCAAGGAATCAATAGCCATCCTATAATCTTGGATTACAATCTAAAGATTGGCATGCGCCGCAATAAATCACACTCCTAATAGGATGCAATATCTATTCCTAAATATCCTCTGGAATTCTCTCAGTTTAATGAGGATTCTACTATCCTAAAAGATCTCCTTGGATGGTATAAATAAACCATTCTAGGGTTCATATATGGTAACTCAATTCTCGCATACTTATTCTCTTGCCCACTTCTTAAGTCTTATTTTGCTTATTAACTTGACCATCAAAGAGCCTTTGATCAGCACACTCCACCTCCCAATCTTTGGCTTGCTTACCACTATTTGTTCTTTTACAAGTACTTGGATTTGTGCATCTCCACCATCAATGACGGTGTGCGAATTTGGTTCCACACTTGGATAAAAATGCAGTGGGGGCCACCATCAACAGAAACTCCAAATTCACATTTCGTGGCCTCGGATACTACATGGCAATCCCAAATTTCAAGGATTAGCCATTGTTGTTCTTGCTCGCTGTACTTTGCGTATCCACCTGTTGGAAATGTCCGTCATGAGATGATATTTTAAGAACATTTCACATATTAAACTAATTTACTTTAATCTAAGGGCAAATATTATTGTTTAAAGTCGTCTCATTAAATGTCATACACTTAAAAGATAAGTTCAAGGCATATTTAATAGAGTGTAATCTATAAGTTAGATTTAGGAGACCTTTATCTTTCATACACATATCTTAAACACTTATAATTATAGGATTGCCAATTGGGTATTGACAATCCAAATAGATCACTACATACTATGTCTTCTCCCTAGAAAGTGTCTAGTCTCAAGTCATTGGTGTGAAAGACATGAAAGTATGTAGATGCTCAATAAAGTGTGAGCACACTGAACATGTCAACCAGAAGTTCTCATATTCATGTCATATGAGAACTCACCAATTGGGATAATACAAAGTAGTCCTTTGACTTGAGGCAACACAATTGTCTTGTTGTTAGGACCTTAATTTGACTATGTTAAAGACACTACTATTTGAGAAGGTGTCCAAGACATTGTTGGGGTTAAGCGACCTAATCATAAAGGCATGTGAGTGTACGCATTATGCAAGGACCTACCTGTGGGAGTCTTCCTCACACCTTACAACATCGAGAACGTGGTCCTCGTTGACAGCTCAGAACCCCTCACCACCAACAATGTCTTCATTTACCAAATTATCTGTCATATCATGTTTTTTGGCCCAATTTTCGTACCAACATTATAAAACATTATGCTAAAATATAAAGTGGCGGAGAATCCATGGAAAGTCTCACTTTTAAGAAAGTCTCATTTTTAATGATATAGCTAGTTTATGCCTTGTTTATATGCAAAACAAAACGGGTGAATTACAGGTTTTATTGTTGTGGTGCTTTGGTTGCCGAGAGGTGTTGTGTTTAGAGGAAAAAATGAAAAGAGTTGTATGAGAAGAGGAAACGGGTTTGGATCCCATCCGAATCCAAATTGTGGAGATCCTATAGATCCTCACATCTTAGTCATTCATCGTATATCGTGTGGTCAGAAATTATTTGACTTTTTTATTTAAAAATAAAACATAAATAGTACCTGACGAAAATTGGTCACACGATATACAATGAACAGCTAGGAGATGAAGATCCTTTGGATGCTCACAAAGAGGATTCGGAGAGGATCCTCATCCGATCAATGGAAAACATCGATGGAGAAAGACTATACAATAGAGAAGATATAATTTTGTAATTGCCACTTAGTACTAGTATTACAGTCTAATAGTATTCTTCTTCACTTGTAAGTGAGAGGTATTAGGTTCAATTCTCGCCAAAGGCGAATTTGAACCACATTATTGCTAGCCTATTGTGAGACTTAGCTCACCCCAACCCCTTAGTGTAGATAATATCACTGGTTCAAAAAAAAATTGTAATTAATTTTTATTTAACAAATGATATTATCTTTACTAACAGGATGGACGAATGATTCAAGCCTCATAATAGACTAGTAATAATTATAATGAAATTCGAGCTGTCCTCCATTTGATGGAGAAGAATATGAACCTTGGTTAGAATTTCTACAAGGATCCTAATTTGGGCTATTTTTACAAATTTCTCGGTCTTCCCCTCCTTCAAACCCCTAACCCTCTGCAATCCCTTCCTTTCCCTTGAGTCTCTTCCAATTTTTCGCACAATGAAACGCTCAGCTGAGGCCGTTCCCATCGCCGCCTCCTCCGCCACCGCCTCCTCCTCCCTGCCGCCCAAGAAACCTGTTTTTTTAACCAAAGCCCAACGGGAGCAATTAGCCCTCCAACGCCGCCAAGAACAAACCGAAGACCAGAAACGCCACCAACACCATCTTCTCTCCAGTCTCTCCCACTCGCGCCCTTCCTCCGACAACGCACCGCCCGCAACCACCACTAGTTCTGACCGAGACCGAGATCGAGATAGAGACAGAGACCGAGATCATAGGGACCGAGACCGAGACCGAGACCGAGACAGGGACAGGGACCGATATTCTCGTGACCGGGAACGAGACCGGGAGCGAGATTCCGAGCGGCGGAACCGCGACCGCGACCGAGATAGGGAGCGCGAAGAGGAGGCCAAGGCTAGAGAGCGTGCCCGCTTTGACAAAATGGCCGAGCGCGAGCGGGACAAAGAGCTGGAAGCCATTAAAGAGCAGTATCTTGGATCGAAGAAGCCCAAGAAGCGAGTGATCAAACCCAGCGAGAAGTTCCGATTCTCTTTCGATTGGGAGAACACAGAGGACACTTCTCGGGACATGAATGCTCTGTATCAAAACCCTCACGAGGCCCAGCTTTTGTTTGGGCGAGGGTTTCGGGCCGGGATGGACCGAAGGGAGCAGAAGAAGCTTGCTGTGAAGTACGAGAGGGAGCTGCGGGAGGAGATTCGGAAGAAAGACGGCGTCGAGGAGAGGCCTGAGGAGGCCGCTGCTCAGAGGCTTAAGGAGGAGGCTGCGGAAATGTATGACACTTTCGACATGAGGGTTGATCGCCATTGGACTGATAAGAAGCTTGAAGAGATGACTGAGAGGGACTGGAGGATTTTTCGAGAGGATTTTAACATTTCGTATAAGGGGTCTAGGATTCCGAGGCCAATGAGGAGTTGGGCAGAGAGTAAATTGAGTGAGGAGTTGCTTAAGACTGTGGAGAAGGCTGGGTACAAAAAGCCTTCTCCGATTCAGATGGCGGCGATTCCACTTGGCATGCAACAGCGCGATGTTATTGGCATTGCTGAGACTGGTTCTGGTAAGACTGCTGCCTTTGTTCTTCCTATGTTGACTTATATTTCGAGGTTGCCTCCCATTAGTGAGGAGAATGCGGCAGAAGGGCCTTATGCTGTTGTTATGGCGCCTACTCGTGAGCTTGCACAGCAGATTGAGGATGAGACTAACAAGTTTGCGCAATTCTTGGGTATCAAAGTGGTTTCCATTGTTGGTGGGCAGTCCATCGAGGATCAAGGGTTTAGAATTAGGCAAGGATGTGCAGTTGTAATTGCCACTCCAGGGCGTTTGATTGATTGCTTGGAGAGGCGTTATGCAGTTCTTAACCAGTGCAATTATGTTGTGCTTGATGAGGCTGATAGGATGATTGATATGGGGTTCGAGCCACAGGTTGTGGGAGTTTTAGATGCGATGCCCTCCAGCAATTTCAAACCTGAGAATGAGGACGAAGAACTTGATGAGAAGAAGATATACAGAACCACTTATATGTTCAGTGCCACCATGCCGCCTGCTGTGGAGCGGCTTGCTAGGAAGTACTTGAGGAATCCTGTTGTGGTCACTATTGGCACGGCTGGAAAGACAACTGATTTGATCACTCAGAATGTGATCATGAGCAAGGAATCTGAGAAATTTGAGAGATTAAAGAGATTGCTTGACGAACTTGGTGATAAGACTGCTATTGTATTTGTTAACACCAAGAAGAATGCTGACTATGTTGCTAAGAGTTTGGATAAGAATGGATATCGTGTTACCACTTTGCATGGAGGGAAGTCACAGGAGCAGAGAGAAATTAGCCTTGAAGGTTTTCGGACCAAGAAATACAATGTTCTAGTTGCGACCGATGTTGCAGGTCGTGGGATTGACATACCTGATGTGGCCTATGTTATTAATTACGATATGCCTGGGAATATCGAACAGTACACTCATCGTATTGGGCGTACTGGCCGTGCAGGGAAGACTGGTGTGGCCACAACATTCTTGACTATGCATGACACGGATGTATTTTATGATCTCAAGCAGATGCTTATTCAGAGTAATAGTCATGTTCCTCCTGAACTGGCGAAACATGAGGCCTCAAAGTTCAAGCCAGGTTCAGTTCCTGATAGACCACCAAGGCGTAATGATACTATTTTTACTCACTGAGAAGTTAGGAATTTACCAGAGTTTTCAACAGAGGGCCCAGCTTATTCACCGTGTGATGGTGTTTTCATGGCTGAGACATCTTTGCTTAATACTGGAACCGAAGAAGTGAGTTGTTTTGATAGGGATTGTGCTCATGTAAAATTTATGCTGTACTGTAATTCGCAAATTGATGTCATAACTTTTTCCTCTGGAATAATGTTGTTAATCGTTTGCTAGAATCAGTAAATTCTCATGATTATATCAGTTTGAATGTTTTTTTTTTTTTTTTCCACTCGTCATTGAGTTTTGCAAATTATTCGTTCACTGAGTCAGTTCACTTCAAATACTATTTTTGTTTGTTGAAACAGTGTTTTCATATCACATTTGAATGCAGAAATAAACGTTAAGCTACTCTTGTATGCTTTTTATGTATTATATATGTATTATGTTGACAGTGTGGTGGTCACATCTGCCTTGGAGGTTCTTGGCAACAGATCTCTGAGATTCTGCTGGACCACCTCGCGGGATGGCACTGTTTGGTATTGGGGCTTTTCTGTGCATGCCAGATTTGACGAAGCAATTCAATATTATGGTGTTATTTTCTACTATGGTATGTGGTTTAAGTTATTGCTGCTATGTGGTATTTTGAGGATTAACTGTGATTAGCAAGGAAGTGAATTTGAAGGCAGAGAAAAATACTCTGTTCATAAATCATAACATAAAGTTCGTAAATATGGGATAGCAATAGGTGGTTGTCTTTTACGGAATATAAGATTTTGACAAAACAATACCCTGTCGAAATAATTTAGTGTCGTTTTACTAGCTACTGCTGTAGTTTTATGCTTTTAGTATTGGCTTTTGATAGAATGTAATTTTGAGTTATCGACAGCAGATAATATACTGATAACAATGTTGACATTACTACTCCTGATCATATATTGAAGCATATATAATATTTGAAGTCCATTCTTGTAAGTGCGTATTGGTTCTGCAAGAATATATGTTGTATCGTGTTTTTTCTGTCGAAAAGTGGTGTATTGTTGAACTGCACATGGTAAAATCACGTTGGCGTAACTATTTCTTTACTCTGGTGTTGCAAGCCTTTTATAGTCTTAATTTCGATGACATAATTGGGATTTAGGTATCATGTGCTGATAGTCAATCTCATGCACCTTAATGCAGAAAATTATCTTGAATTGAAACTCACTAAGCCAAATAAATAGATGAAAAGAGTTGAATGGACCCGAAAATAGTACTTTGTTCCATATTAATTTATTTCAGCTTATGAAAATTATCATTCCATGATCAAGGTTTGTTTCGAACGGAAACCTTTGCATGTGTAATCTAGGTCGTAATTCTGTGAGTTTATACATGTTTAGTGGACTAAGGTGACATTGATTAGTAGGACGATTAGCGGCTGTTCATAGATTTAGATACATTATACAGATAAGTTGCATATATTTGAGCATATTACAGTCCAGACGAAATAAATAAATAAACAAGACTAGCACACTACTGAAAATTTCAAAACCATGTCGTGCAGGCCTTGTTGTCTGAAGTTAAAACATGCAGATATGTCATTGTTAACTACACCTTTGTGAGGCAAGTTTGATGTAATTGCCCTCACAGTTCAGGCTTGAGCACGCGAAAATCACATAATTAGCGTGCACTGCTCCTCCTTGGCTCAGATGAATGTGCATATTGATACTTTTCTGCATAATATGAGTTTCTGATGAGGACATCAACGTCGATAGTTTAGCGTGCACCGCCCCTGGAGTCCAATTGTCTTTTATTTTTGTTTTGTTAAGTTTTCTGTGTTTTCACGTACGCCAAACTATCTAAATCTGTTGCCAACTCTGTACTACATCAATTTCCTTGCATTTTTTCGTTTTCGGTTTTTCTTAACCCAGACCTCCTATAAAATTTATAGACAGCATTGTCTTATAAAGTGCAGGACTCATTTCCTTGTCTCCAATACCAAATGGTCGGGGTGTTTCACAAAAACGTAACAGTAGCAGTAGCGTAGCGTGTTCGACATCGGAGGAGGACGAGTGAAGAGTTGGTTTTGGTTTTGGCAAAATTGAGTTATGTTGGTCACTTGAAGTCTAGTTTTGCTGAACTTCTTGAACTCTAGAAATTGGTTTCAAAAGCATTTGTTGGGGGAAGGGCCAAGATTTTTTCATGACTGTGAAGATTTTGGATAGTGTGGTTGATATTTCAGCGGATCAGTGTTGACAAGGACTCGCAAGAGCAGATTTATAACATCAACTTATACATGCACAAATAAACGGTGTGTCCTCTTTCACTTGATAAATCCCTAATAAATCTTTTGAAGAGCCAAAAAAAAAACGTTTACATCGATTTGAGAATCCGAAAAACATATACATGAAGTTCCGTTTCGTCACTTTCACTGGAAACAGAGTCCCAAGGCACTTGTACCATTGCCAAAATTCGATTTAAAGTGACAAGTGGATACTTCCCAATAGCCTCGTTAGACCGTACGTCCTTCTTTGTCTATTCAGATAATAGGTTGGAGCATAAACTAGAACATTAAGGAGCTGTAAAGATAATTATAAAGGGTGTGTTTAGAAGTGTGTTTTTAAAGCGACTGAAAACGCTTTTGATGAAAGTGTTTTTGGAACCAATGCTTAATAAAAATGTAAGAGAATCCTAAAAAGACACTTGAAGTGCTTATTGTAAGAAGCACTTAATTGGTGCTTCTCCTAAATGCACTTCAATTGCTTTTGAAACCCAAAATTACTTTTACCAAAAACGTTTTTAATCATTTTAAAAACACTTCTGAACAAGCCCAAAATCGTTAGCATAGCACAAAAACATTCCTCCTGGAGTAGCTATTAATACGAATGTCAAAACCACAAACCACAAAAGTTTCGTTTACAGCTATTTCTGCTGTTTTTGAATATTGTATTATTGACCTAAAACGCGACGGTAAAGTTATTTTCGTCCAAGGGGAGTGGATATATGGAGGGTTAGGACAGAATGCAGTTGTTTTGATGGCTTCCTTGTAGCATCGCTAACAAAGCTGGGTACCATGATAGTAGGGTAATCCCGTCTGTTTACAGGGTTACCTCGGACTGAAAGTCGGGCACCATATTGTTACTAGGAATTTAGGACCAATGCAAAGCAGTAGTCCGGTGTCCTAGGGCCTAGGATGAGGTACGGACCTCTCCATGCCTGACGAGAATACCCACTTCTTATGTCCTGTTGCAGCTTATGACGGCTGGTTGTGTCAATAATATAATGTCATATGTCACGATGAGCAGTGAAAGACAACGAAAGAAATTTGTAAAACAGGAAAAGATTAAGTTACATACATAATACTAATCCGTGTAGGACTATAAGTTATGCGGAACAACCTCCATTAAAGGAGGATGTGTGTCTAATTTCGAAGTATTAATGCGCATAGTTTAGTAATATTTTTTTTCTCATAAATTTATTTCAACCATAGTTTATACGATTTTTTGTGATCTGAGGAACACACTTTGAGCAAGCACTGACTAAAATCAAACCATCCACTTTTCAACATTCATTTCCGGTTGCTCGTCTGCTGCAGGAATTGCCGTAGTATCAGAATTTTGGAGAGGTCAGTGATTTATTTGGCTTGCTGATTTTCTGTCCGAGTATTTTGATGATTTCCTCCAAATTCAAAGTAAAGAAAACTAGCCAAAAAGACCTTCTAGCATTCTATGAAAGTGTAACTACGAGATTATCTATGCTTTATATTTCATTTTCGGCCCTCCCTTGCTTCGAATCCTTAGCTCCAACTGTGAAAAGAGGGCTAACGAAATTCGGAGAGGGCCTGAGGGGATACCAGGAAATGATGTAAACATCAGTATAGCATTGGCTAATTTTGAACTCAACAATGTTACACTACGAGTAAAGGAATATGTAGAATTAAACATAGTAAAGCTTTCTTTGTACCGTCGAGATTTTTCATAAAAAAGGGTAAAAACATCTTCATTCTCTCTATGGAGATTCAAACCCCACCACTACTATCAATTGAAATGCCATCATGAAAGACCTAAACCCACTTACAAGGCAAGGTGTGTGCACTTAAAATTCCTAAATGCGACGAAAAAGCTTCCCAATTAAATCGAGAAACTTGGTGTTAAATCACAATCACATCATCATAATAAACTTTGCGTATCAAATCTACTCTTATCTTTGTTTTTCCCCTGTTAGGTACTTACATGCATGTTTACCTAATTAGATTGCACTATGTTCTTCTTTATTTCTGTTTTGCTTTCCAAATTAGATTTCAACTACAACTACTACTCTATTATAATGTTTTTTTAATAAATAAGTTCAAGTTTTTGAGCCAAGAGGAGGACAAGAGTACAAAAGTTTGATCATAGGTTAAGGGATGATGCTTTACCGCTAGTATAATTTATATTAAGCGTACATGGCGCTTTACCATAATGGCCGAAAACAATAATGTTTATGCACCTTGGTGCGAATTCAATACTCACTGATTCTTCTCCCTCTTAACATTTAACAATTTAATCCGCTAATGTTGTTGTTTGTAGGAAAAAAAAAATTGTGTTAAGTGTAGTTGCTCGTGCATTTACCTATAATAATTTGAAGAGTAATATCAGTAGACCATAATACTAATTAACTCATTAATTATATTAATTAATTTTCCTATAAAACTCATTTATTAAAAATTGGGCACACCGGAAAAATTACTAATATCTTAATTAATCACTAACCCATCTTGTTGTATATCATCAATAGATGAATTATGAATCGAGACTCACAAAATAGACTGTTCAAATCGTTAGAGTTCAATGTGGTGTGAGCCCCATAACTAATCTCTATTTTTTCGTAAAAAAATAAGGATTCCTTCCCTTAAAAGGTCTGCCTCTATATATATGTCATGCTTAATAAAATACTTTACATGTTTCTTAAAACCATCGACCATAATTTAGCCATTTTTTAACAAATCATTCAAAAGTGGGTGAATTGCCAAATTTCTCCTTCAATGCAACGACTTAATTCCCATATTCCTAAGTTTTGAGTTTTAGGATTTTAGTCTTTGCATTGGAGGAGAAAATACTGGATTCAAAACTCAAATTCTGACTTTTCAAAGTATAGGTATTTATATTGGAGATGATTGAACCCAAAACTCAAATTTTATTTTTTTAATTGAATGAACTTCACCTTGTACTCAAATCTCATATTAAAACTTAAAGTTGAATCACACTTTGGTTATTTTTTTTGCCAAAAAAAATGTTGCGGAGACGGGATTTGTACCCGTGACAAAACCAAATATGACTTTTGTCTTATATTTAAACTCAAATACAAGATTTGAGTCTTTACGTTGAAGATTTCGTGAATATATATAACTGAGTAGCTACACGTGTAACAAGTTACTACCGAGTTGTTTTGTAGTGAAATACCTAATATCGGACACGTGCAAAGATATCCTATATTCCACCCCCACTTGCCTCCGATATCAAATAATTTATACCAAACCATGTCATTGGTAATTAATATTATCCATTCATGTTATTTAATGGGGAGTGATATTCACATATTTTGTTAATTTTTGTCTACTGATCTTCTTTAGTTTATTCGATTCGACAGTTGAAAATTGAAATAAGTGTGTGAGAAGTAAAAATTGGTATGTGAATAGCATCACCCTAATTAATTTATAAGTTGTGCCAAGCAATTTCAAGAGAAAAACGAACAATTCTTAAAATTTTGGATTCTAATGGGTAAAATAATATTTCATTTGTTCCTTTTGCCTTTGGGGTGTAAACAAGTTGAGCTAAGTTGAGTACCATGGTACCCAAGCTAGGCCCAAGCTTGAATCAAACTCGTAAGACTAACGCGGTTTCCAAATAAAGAAACATACCAAATCAAACCAATTGTGGTTTGCTTCAATTCAGTCCAAGATTACACTCTTTTAAAGCTTGTTTGAAAGCATTTTTAAAATGACTGAAAATGTTTTAGATAAACATATTTTTAAAATCAATCCTTAATAAAAATTTAAGTAGATCTTCAAAAAGCACTTTAAGCATTTCTTGCGAGAAGCAAGTATTTGGTGTTTCATCCAAAAAGTACTTAAAGTGTTTTTGGGATCCAAAATTAATTTCACCAAAAACACTTTCAATTATTTTAGAAGCATTTTCAAACGAGCCCTTAGTGTAAAAATCGAACCAACCTCTTGAATTAGTTTGCTTTATCCGGTTTGAATGGGTGGTTCCTTGTCCGCCTCTGGCCGTAATAACCCCACTTATCTATAACAATATATTCATATGATTCTCTTATATATCATTATTTTTCATGACATAAGACAAGAGAATGTTATACGGTATACACATTTTTCTTTTTAACCTCTTACACATTCGTATTTAGTTTTCGATGTTGTTTTCATTTGGTTTATTGAATAAGATGTTAAAAATAAAAAGGATTGTGCAAGAAACTAAAAATAGAGTGAAAAGAATCATCTCCTAAATATTAGAAAATTTCTTGTCATTCAACCCTTTGGTAATGGCTACTTCCACTTGGTCCTCAGTTTTTTTTTATTTTTTTTAATTTTTTATCCACTTGCTCTTGAGTCTTGACTGTTATTCGTTACGTATTAAACATAGATTAATTAATGTGTTATAAATGAAAAATCAAATCATATTGTTAACTATATATAAGAACCATCTCTTGCATCAGCATATTAATATTAATATATATAATCTATGCCAGGCATTGAACAGCTTAAAAGTCTTCTAAACTGTATGGGGTGGGGTGGCCATAATCGGGATCGTTTTTCTCACAAATGGCATTCTTGCATGCCCTTTATCTATTTCAACTTTATTCTTTTCAGATTATGAGGGATTGAAAGGAAAGAAAAACAAAACAAAAAAAAATTGATTTATTTAACTAAACAAAACACTAATTAGTGATGCTAAATATGAAAGTTGATTTGTCCGACAAAAAAAGAAGAAGTTAGTTTCACATATATGATTGAACTTGTATAAATCCAAGGATGTGTAAATAGTGTCTAATCGCAAAATGTCCCTATGCTTCCGTTTAATGAATTTTTGTCATCTGAATATCATAATTAAAACTGTTCATTTTCTTTATCATCATCTAAAGATCATTTTGTAGAAAATTATTCAATTTGGAAATTGTTTAGTCATTCATATGCAGAAAACAAATAAACGTTTCATTATGAGGATGCTACTTGTTACTAAAATCATTGATTTATTTAACACATATGAATGACTAAACGATCTCTAAATTGAATTTTCTTTACAATTATGATTTTTAGATGATGATAAATAGAATGAACTATTCTAATTATAATGTTCAGATAGTAAAGATTCATT